ACTGTTTTTCAGCTAATATTCTAGTTTTAAATTTTCAGATGTCACAATTCTGAACAATATAGCTTGGATCTCTAATGGAGAGGACATAACTGGGCGAAACTACGACCATAGTAACCTTAGTGAGCAGTGAGGCTCAGAGATCACTTGCTGAACATGGTTGACTGTTAACAGAACTGATTATTTGTTCACTCAAACAGGTGGTTCTAGACACTGCTACATTTTCAATACAAAAATCTTGCCAGATTTTTCAAGACACCTATTTACCATTTATGTTCAAAACCTTGTACCATCAGAGGCAAAGCAGAGAAAAGTGAAAGCATAACTTGTTTCTATTTATCTAAATAAACTCATGGAAAAAAAATGTATAGGATGTTTTTCTTATTTGATCTGTCAGCCAAAAAGTAACTATGAGGAAACTCAACCAAAAAATACCTGTTTCTAAATAGTAATCCTACAGACCTTTTTCAATACCAAGACAAAAAAGTTTGCATATTCAAGATGATGCTTAAAATGAAAGTGATGGCTCAAAAATTTGTGTTCAAAATAAGAAACTAAAATTTCATCACTGTTAATTCCCCATGGCTTTTGGCACTGACATTATGATTTTAGTCTTTTGGTCACTAGAAGCTGCTAGTAAATACAGTAAGTCTTTAAAAGGGGGATGGGAGATGGAAGAGACAAGTGAGGAACTGAAGAATATTTATATGCACATACCAGAGTTTGGAATAAACAGTCATTTCTGCTAGGGTTTTGAGAGAGTAGAACAGTTTTCTCACCTTTTTCCATTTAAAAGATCATCTGATTAGAAATAATGCCATTAGGCTACTGTGAATGGTGTTGCCTGGCAGCAGCTTCAGTTTTATAGGCTAGTCTTCAATACAGATAAGTAATCTCACAAGAAATAATCATACATGGCAATAGAGTTAAAAATGGGCAGTTCTTCCATGCATAAACATTTCAGGAGAAAAACCATCAATTTTAAAGATAACTGTCAGGTTTCACGTGTCCTAGTACACTCTATACCTAAGTTTTGCTTTATACCATTGGTGACTAAAATTAACAGTAAGTTTTGCAATGAGATCTTTTCGTTTTCCTGCAACTATATACACAATGCAAAACTATTCTGCATCACATGATTTTAAATGAAATAAATATAAAAATGAACCACACAATCAACACATAACTTTAATACTCAACATTATTTATCTTGATCACAAAGGTGATAACCTCCTTGTCAACAATCTTGTGAGTTGAGAAGCTGATTTTCATTCTCATATCCATCAGGCAGATATGCTCTCCTCAGCTGGTCTGACTTAGGTATGGAGCCTCCATTCTTCACATGGCGAGACAGGAAAGCACGAACTGCTGGATGATCAGCTTTCTCAAGGGGGATGTTGGCTTCCAGGCACATTTTCACAAAGTCCTGGATAACACTGACTTTCTCTGTTTGTGCAGTACTGTTGCACTGAAGAGATGCAGTTAGGGGCCTCTGCTTCTTTCTCACATTCTGCTCTTCAAATTCTGCCTTTCTCTTGGTGTGAGTCTTTGACTTGAGGTGGTCACTAATGGCAGACTTGCGAACATGATTCAGAACCACATTGCAAGAAGTGCAGAAGAGTTTTCCTCCATCTTCATGAAGCTCACCTCCAAACTCAGTGACTCGATCCAGGGGTGTCACATACAAAGCAGTCTTAGATCTATTTCGAGCTGGTGGTGCTGTTACTACAAACCGTTCCATTTCTGACTCTTAGTAAAGTTCTTTAAAAAAAAAAAAGATACATACATATATATTTATATTTCATTCTAGAACTAGTTAAAATAATATTAAAGATTAAAGACTTCAGCCAGAAGCCTGTAACTCATGCCTATAATCCTAAACTACTCAGGAAGCTGAGGTCTCAGACTCAGGGTTAGAAGCCAGACAAAGCAGGAGAGTCCCTGATATTCTTATTTCCAATTAACTACCAAAAAAGCCAAAAGTGGGGCTGTCACTCAAGTGGTAGAGTGCTAGCTTTGATCAAAAAGAAGCTAGGGACAGTGCCTGTGCTCTCAGTTCAAGTCCCCACCTTGGCAAAAAAGAAAAAAAAAAAAAAGAGGACTAAATATTTTAAATAAATGCACTCAATTCTCTGTACCACAAAAAGAAAAAAAAACACAAAAAACCCTTTAATTCAAATTGGTAAGACATTTGTCTATCAAATCTTATCTAAAACATTTTTTTTTTTTTTTGTCGGTCGTGGGAATTGAACTCTGGGCCTGGGTGCTGTCCCTCAGCTCTTCAGCTCAAGGCAAGCGCTCTACCACTTGAGCTACAGTGCCACTTCCGGTTTTCTGGTGGTTTATTGGAGATAGGAGTCTCACGGTCTCTCCTGCCCGGGCTAGCTTTGAACCGCGATGCTCAGATCTCAGCCTCCTGAGTAGCTAGGATTACAGGCGTGAGCCACCAGTGCCCTGCATCTTATCTAAAACATTTAAGGGAAGACAAACCTAGAGTAAATTATTAATAACTCGGTCCATTCTTTGACTTTCATGACATTCAAATAAATTAAAACAATCTTTCAGAAAAATATTACCACAGGTTGAGTATTAATTACATTAACATTATCCAATTTAGATATGTGTTCTTGTTTAAAAGAGCTTCTTTCAGAGACAAGTTATAGACTAAGTCAATTTTGTAATATTACATGCACTAAAAACCAATCTTCTTTGTTAGTGACAAATGATTAGTTAAGTGTTAACTTTTTCTTGGGGTGATGTCTTTGAGCTAAACTAAACCAAAATTTACGCTAATTCAAAGTAGAGAGTCTAATATGTTAGCAAATGATTCTTAAGTATATTATGAAGTAAATAAGTGCAATTACAAGCAATGTGAATATTCTATTTCATTGCATTAATCAATGGTAGAGGGTATCTGTGTAACATTAAATTTCTGTCAAATGAGCTTTAAATTGTCAATGTGTTGAATACATGTGGACTCAAACCAGGACGCTTTAACAATTCACAAAATTATTCTGTAAAGCACAGAAGTCTAAGTTTTAATATGTTTAAATTGTTCTTATCACTTTTTCTTTTGGTGCACAGCTCTCATCTTGTCAGATTTGTAATGGCAGAAAAGTTATGATCCTTGCCTAATACTTAGTAAACTATCATTACATGTCTGTCTGTAAGTTAATAGTATGTTGGTAATACTTAAATTTCACTTTCTATTTGAAAGCATTCTGTGCTCAAATATTTGGATTTCAAATCTTGAACCAAGTATATTTCTTTGAAACTCAAACACTTCTGCTAATGGGAAAGCATTGTAATTTGCAAAAATTTTTTTTTTTTTTTGTCAGTCATGGGCCTGAACTCTGGGCCTGGGCGCTGTCCTTCTGCTCTTCAGCTCAAGGCAAGCACTCTACCACTTGAGCCACAGCGCCACTTCCGATTTTTTTCTGCTTATGTGGTGCTGAGGAATCGAACCCAGGGCCTCATACTTGCAAGGCAAGCACTTTACCATTGAGCCACCTTCCCAGCCCCTGAAAAACTTTTTTAAAAAAGTCTGTTCGTGTAACTGGGAAGGGCAAGTAGCTATCCGGTTAAGGATGCTCCAGTTTACAGAGCCACATACCCAAAGAACAAAGGTGTTTTCACAAAGATATTTTAAACAAATGAGGAAGTTCAAAAGTTAAGACCCGGAACTTGCCAACAAAAGAGAAGCAGTAATTTACTACAGCAAATGAAATTTATCAGAAGTTTTGAAGCTTACATGTTTACCGGATTAGTTTCCAGTTTACGTTTTGTTTTTGTTTCTTCTTGATAACTTAAGTAGTCAAGATTCTTCAGTTTAAAAACGAGACGCACCAAATCAGAGCACTTCGACGCTAGTTCAAAGCCACAGATGCCTTCCAATCAATTTTTCAACAAGTGGTGGTGGGAAAGTAGTTTCTGGGCTTGCACCCTGTTTTCCCTGCGGTGCCGGGAAATCATGCCTTTACTGTAAAATAGGAAAAAACAAACGGAGAGGAAAATGGGGGAGGGGAGGGAGAGGGTGGTTGAAAATACCAACAGCCTCCACACAGGTGTCCACACCCCAAACCCCGTCGGCGCCTTCCTCCTGCCCCCCCCGCCCCTTTCCCATCCCGTTTCTCCCCTACGGTCGGCGCGCCGAGGTGCCCTCGCGCGGGCCCCAGGCCCGGGGGAGGGGGCGGGTGGGGGAGAGGCGGGGCGCAGGGCGCCCGTGGCGTCTCGCCGCCTTCCTCCCGCGCCGGGATCGGCAAGGTGGCGCCCCACCGCTCCGACCCCGGCGGCTGGGCAGGGCCGCGTCTGGGTCTCCGGCTCTGGGCCCGAGAACTCGCCGAGTTGGCGGCGGTCTCCGGGGAGTCGGCGGCAGGCGCCAGGCGGAGGCGGCCACTGTCAGGCGCCCCGTCCCGTCCCCTCCCTCTTCCTCCCGCCGACAACGGCGTCCCGGCCCCGCCCCCGGCTCCCGCTCCGGGACTGAAGGCCCGGGGCCCACAACCCACACCAACGGCCAGGCCCACCCACGGCTACCCTAGCTCCTCGGTACCGTAGGATCGGGGCCGCTGTGAGGGAGACTAGACGAGGCCTGGCTGGAAAGGAAAGGGAGGGGAAGGAAAGGAGGAGCAAGGGGTTGAGGGAGGAGGACCAGACGCCGCCGCCGCCGCCGCCGCCGCCGTCGCCCGAACGAGCCCCACGGCGGCTGCCGTGTCCCCCGCCGCGCCCCGTCCTCCCGCACCGCCTATGGCAGAGCTCGTAGGCGGTCCTCAGCAACCGCCGAGCTACAGCGACCAACAGACGCGGGGTCTCACAAGCAGACGTCCGATTTGGCCAATAGCGTGAGGAGGGCGGGCGTGACTGTGATTGGCAGCCAAACTCCTCCAACAAGAACGGGGGGCGTGGGTGGGCGGAGCCGGAAGTAGCGCCCAGCCGAGCGGCCCCTGTCCGGCTGGGGCGGGGGAAGGGGGAGGGAACTGAAGGAGGAGGAGGAGGAGGTTAGCCGAGGCAGCGACGGCGGCGGCGGCGGCGCAGGGGCTGGTACGCGCTGGGCGGCGAGAGCCTCATGGCGGAGGAAGAGAGCGACCAAGAGGCCGAGCGCCTCGGAGAAGAGCTCGTGGCCATTGTGGAGTCCCCGCCGGGCCCGGTCGGGCTCCGCGCTGTGGGCGACGGCAGGGGCTGCTCCGGCCGCGGCAGCTGCGGCGGCGGCGTCGGGATCAGCAGTCGGGATTACTGCCGACGCTTCTGTCAGGTGAGGCGCCCGTCGGCCGCCCCGACTTGTCACTGGGTCCTGGGCCTCTCGGCGTCTGCCGGCCTGGCGGTTCACGGGTCCGGGCTGCGTCCGGCGCTCGACGCTCCGGCGGGGCGCGGGGAGTGCGGGGGAGCCCCCTGCCCCCTCGGGCTGCACCGATCTGCGGTGGGGAGGGAGGCGCGGAGCAGGACCCGGTGACTTGTGGACTTGGGGCTGCTGAGAAAAAGTGAGTTTGTGGAGGTTGGGGAGCTGGGGAGGGGAGTCAGCCGGCCGGCCAGCTGTGTCCGGAGGTGCCTCCCCTGCCCCGGCAGACACCCCCCGTCCTGCCCGGGGGTCCCGCCTTTCTCAGGCTCCGCACCCGTCCTCCTCACTTCATTGGGAAGCGCCGGCAGCATTTTCCGCCACTCCTTCCCGCCCCCCCGCCCCCCCTCTTTTTCGGGGTGGGAGGTGTGCCCTGTGGCTGCCGCCTCCTCTCCTGTCATCCGCACCCCTCCCCCGCGGCCAGGGGCTCCTGTCATCCCCTCGCCGAATTCCGAGGTGCCGGTCCCTCCTTTGGCTTTGGCGCTGAACCGCAGTTAGTTAGTTATTTTTAAATCGGAGGTGGGGTGGTAGCAGCGAGTTTGATAGTCGTCTTTCCAGCCCCCTGGCTCGCAGTGTTTCCGAACTGCACCTCGGAAAGTCCTTTTCCTTAAACTCTCGCCCCGGTTACATCACCCCGCCCATTCTTTAAAGTACCCTGTCGTCTTCTCTGGGAAATTTCAGTGTTGAGTGACGGTGAATTACTTCCTGTACCGCCTTTACTTTTAGGTGTCCTTCTAGCGTAGCCAAATGGAATACCGATCTACCTGTTCAGGAGTCAAGGTTGTGTAAAGCTCTACACACATTTACAATTTCCGTTTCTTCATTCACCACACTTGTTTTGAAAACCTTTTTGAACAAAAAGAAACTTTTTCATCCCACCCCTCTTAAAATTAATATCTTGGATATATAGGGTTTAAATCCTGGCTTCACCTCTTTTTAGCAGCTTACTTTGCAACGTTACTTAGCTCATCTCTGTGAGTTTTCTCTTCTGTCAACTAGGATAGCTTTTTTTCCTCACTTGGATAAATATATAAAGAGTTTATGTAACTTAGCTATTAATTTCATTCTGGTCACAAGTATGAAGCAAAGCTAACAACAAATGGGCACCGTGTTTGCTGACAGTTCGTTTTAAGCCTTTCAAACATGGAAGGAAAAATGATGAAGTTGATATTTTCAAGGCTGAAACTGCCTTGGTATAAAGAGTGGATCAGGTTCTCTTAATGCTCTTCATTTACTTTCTTATATTAGTTTTTAATTTGATAATTGACATTTATTGAAGCTCTGTGTTATCAGAACTTAAGTTGTAGATTTAGAAACCGTTTTATTGGTATAGACTTGTATCTACAGGAATTTTAAGCTTCTGAACATTAGTATACAATTAGTATTTTGAACATATTCAGACGCAAAAATTGGAGTTGAACCTAGGATCTAGATTCTGTCACAAGCTTACACCTCCAGCCCATTTTTTATAAGATTTAAAAATTTACCTGATGTACTATCCCTTCATTACTGAATTTGAAATTTATTTGCATACTAGACCATTTCTGAGAACTTTTAGCTATTATTTTGCTTCTTAAAATCAATTTTAAGAACAAATTTAGCCTGTGAAAACCTATGTTTGCACTCTGTGAGGCCTAAGCACAAGGATGGTCAGTCAACAAAAAACCAAAACCAATGTGTGATTATTGGTAGTAAAATATTTTATGAACAAATGAACTTGACTATTTTATAAAATTATATCTGCAGAATATCTAAGGAAATAAAACTGAACAAGAAGACCTATAGACTTTTGTACTATAAATTATGAGTGAGGGGCTCAGACTGTAAAGTTTAAACCAGAGTTTAAACTTAGGTACTGCAAAAAAGCACAAAAAAAGCACAACCAAAAAAACAAAAATTGTAAATTGGATTAGAGGTGTGGCTGAAGTGGTAGAATGCCAGTTGTGAATGGAAAAAGTTGAGAATTCAGAGCTTAGACTTCAAATCCTGGTCCCAACCTCTCCTTACCCCTCCCCTCCACCAAAAAAAGTTATGAGTGAGTTGAATTATACAGCATACTTTTATAGAGCCAGCTTTTACCTCAATACCTATTTTGCAATACTCTATTATCATCAGTTGATCTGGTCTTTGGGTTCCTATTCTACTTCATCCTTCCAGGTAAGCTTTGTGATTTTTTTTAAACATTTAAACTTTTAGATGGGTTCAAAGAAATGTTTTTATTAGTTGGATTTTGTTTTCTACTTGTTAGAATACTAATACAGTAATTCTCTTTTGAGTAAGGGAAACAGTGAATTATATAACCTAATTCCAAATATTTGTTCCCTTTTTAAAGATTTGATTTCTTAATATTTATGAAGGTTTATATTATGTGATTCTCATCCATTAGTAAATTGCTTAATCATGAGTAAATAAAATGTATAATTTATACTTGGATAGGTAAGTAAACAAATTACATATCTAGCCTAGTGGTATTGAGGAGAACTCCAATTTATTGCCTTCATTGGAGGGAAGTAAGAATATTTCTTGTATAAGTGAATGAAAAGAGGAACACTTCTTTTGAGGAAAAGTTTTTGTGTCTTTATTATTAAGGAAAAATAAAACTGAAGACAGTATGAAGATGGGCCTTTCCTTGTTCCCTGCTATTAGACTCAAAAATTGCTCAAGTATAATTGGCCCTTGATGTACACTGTATTTGCTTTACTAAGGTAAGCAGTGTAAAAGTAGCTTTTACTGAGAACCTATTAACTCCTAATCTGAAGGATGAAGTTACAAAGTTGAAAACAGGCCATGAATTTATATTTGAGGTAGATAAGCTGGGATTTGAATTTAGTCTTCAGTATCTACTGACCTCTAATAATTATAAATTTTGGAGGAGGGAGGCAAGTGGGTGCAAAGAAAAAGCTCCTAATACATGCTAGGAATCAGGGATAAAGCATTTAAAAAGTACTCTTTCATTATGTTGTAGTGGTGAAAAGTAGGAAACAGATCATTACTGTCTTTCTGACTTGTTAGGTGCTGTGCACATTTCCCTAATTCCTGGAGTTATAATAAATTGAAAGCTAAACAACTTAAGGTACTCTCTATTCTTTAGTGCCAGAGAGAACATCATGAGTAATAAATACATCTAGAAATACTGTGATGGATTAATGAAAGTAGACTTTAAAATTATTATTATTATTTTTTTTTTGGTCGGTCGTGGGGCTTGAACTCTGGGCCTGGGCGCTGTCCCTCAGCTCTTCAGCTCAAGGCGAGTGCTCTACCACTTGAGCTATAGCGCCACTTCCGGTTTTCTGGTGGTTTATTTGAGATAGGAGTCTCAAGGTCTTTCCTGCCCGGGCTGGCTTTGAACCACGATCCTCAGATCTCAGCCTCCTGAGTAGCTAGGATTACAGGCGTGAGCCACCAGCGCCCGGCTGACTTTAAAATTATTTTGAACCACAGTAGACTTAACATCATTTCCATGAAGATGTCATGGATATAAAATGGGAGAGTGAACATAAAGTTCTTTGAATTGTACCTAGCCCATAGATAGGCTTAAATAGAAGCTATTAATACTCTGTCCTGCTCAATCCTCTTGAGGGTTTAAGAGGGGCATTAAAGATAATATGATCTGTTGATAGCTTATACTTTGTTTCCCACAGTAACTTAAAAGAAAGTTTAGAGGAGCTGGGAAAGTGGCTCAGTGGTAGAGTGCGTGCCTTGCATGCATGAGGCCCTGGGTTTGATTCCTCAGTACCACATAAGCAGAAAAAGTTGGAAGTGACCCTGTGTCTCAAGTGGTAGAGTGCTAGCCTTGAGCTGAAGAGCTGAAAGACAGCGCCCAGGCCCAGAGTTCAGGCCCCACAACCAACCAAAAAAAAAAAAAGTTTAGAAATGTAACCATTCTTAAATTGTTTGTAAACATATTGTTTATAATCAAATAGTCATGATGAAACAATGATTTGGAAAACATTTTCTCTATAACAATATCAGGCAGTCCCAGGTTTTCCTGCAGTGGACACTTGGCAATATTAAAATATTTTTAATTGTTAAGATCAGAAGCCACTAAGGAAGAGGCCTGAAATATTGTTGAATCTCCTATAGGGCACTGATAGGTCTAATAACTAAGGATTGCCTGAGCTACAATAAAAATAGTACCTAGGTTGAGAAACCTTGCTGTACACTTTACTTTGGGATTTTATATGTGTAATGGCATTTGTGGCCAAAAAAAGGTTTTAATGATTCTCAAGTAATTTTTAAGCAACTATTATTAAAAGAAAGATTTGCTTCACTGTTTTTTTTATAAGGTATATGGTCCATGTGTCTTTTAGAGAAATTCTAACTTAATCGTTTAAGAAGAAACAATCCTTAGCCAGGTACCGGTGGCTCATGCCTGTAATCCTAGCTACTCAGGAGGCTGAGATCTGAGGATTGTGGTTCAAAGCCAGCCTGGGCAGGAAAGTTCTTGAGACTCTTACCTTGAGACCACTAGAAAACCTGAAGTGGCGCTGTGGCAGAGTGGTAAAGCGCTCACCTTGAGCTGAAGAGCGCAGGGACAGCGCCCACTCCCAGAGTTCAAGTCTCACAACTAACCAAAAAAATAAAATAAATAAACAATCCTTGGTCTTGACATATAACATAATACATCAAGCTTTGTAAATAGTTTCTGACACTATGTAATACATTTTTATGGTTTTCTGTGGGGGCAGTACTAGGGTTTGAACTCTAGGTCCCAGGCTTGGTAGGCTCATGCTCTACTGCCTGGGCTATACTCCAGCCCCCCATTTGCTTTTCTTTTTTAAATATAATTTTATTGTTACTACCTTGATATAAGGGTTACCATTTAGGAAGTCAGGTAATGAGTGCATTTCTTTTTTGGACAATGTCACCCTTTCCTTCACTTTCCCCCAGTCCTACCCCCCAACCCCCTCGCCACACGT